TGAGGAATGAAATAGTTAGGATTTCTTCGTTCACCGCGTGGCAAAGAGCAATTTTAATGAGCCTGACGCCTAGAAGGATAGCATTAATGCTTGTTTTCTGAGGGATTCTCTGGCATTGGTTCAACGCATTCGAGAGCTCTCAAGCATCACTTTATAGCGTAATTTACCCCTTACTAGTCTCTTTCCTTAGACTTTGGCAAATAAATTTTGCTGGTTTTTGCGCTCAAAATTCTTGCCATGGCCACCATTACCGCGCCGAAAACTCGCGACATATCTGAAACTTTCGAACCACTCAATTTTGTGCTATCGCCTGCTCCTGCCTAATTTTCGGTGTAATTTTTTTGCGATCAGAGCAGTGGGATCGGTGAGTGATAGCAAATGGGAACGAGTCTCTATAGTCACACTGCCAGTGCATCGCGGGACATGACTGCTACCGCTCCACCCAATTCTTGCCCGGGTTACTCGTTCAGATCAACAATCCTCAGCTACTCGCAATGAATCGGAGCCCATGAGAGCATCAACTTCCTTGCCCAACAATTCACTTGAATTTACCGACTATTTATTGTTTTTTAATTTTATTTCGCACGGCACAACGCCCATCCTCCCAGGGTAGCAAAAGAGGGGCAGCACTGCTTCTCGGAAACGAACAACAACCCACTTGAATTTCTCTCTCAAAACTTTTTCCTCAATCCCAAACGAAAAAAATGTCAAGCTGCAATACTGTCACTCGGCTAGTACTTTCGCAACGCAACCTTGTTGCATTTAGTTCCCAGCTATAAAGCCCTCAAGCGCACGAAGCCCAGCCCCAAGCATCTACTAAATTTGTCCTGGAGAGGTCAAAAAATTTACTCTGCCATTTTCCTTCCAAAAACATGCAATTAATGTTTCGTTGAAAAAGCGACCAACCTCACGGTAAACAGAGCCGTTCACAGTCTGCTTTTTTCTCGAAGCGATTCGCGTTTCCACCACAACCGCGGAAGAAGTACAGTTTACAACGGCGATCTTTGGGCGAGTAGAAATAGTGCAGATTTGTTCGAGGTGGCACTTCGTCTTCACGGCAGGCACGTCCTACAAATTGATCATGAGTTCTGACCTCTACTGCGAAAACTCTTGAGTCCTTCGCAAATGATACGTAAAAAATATAGGGTTTGTCTTCAATCCTAACCTTCGGAGGGCTTGATTTGGCACACCGATTTGTCCTCTACTGCTTTCACGACTGGTGTTTCCTCTACTGTTGGCGGCTCAGTAGGAAGGTCAATGGGATGCTCATCTTCAGATTCCGGCAACGCCGTTGTTACGCTGCTCGTAGCTAAAGAATGTGATGAGTAGAGGTTCACGCACGCCGTGAGAGCAAAACTATGCTTCATACCTTTTGTTTGGGGAGGCTCGGCCGGTTTCAACATGAGGTGAGCCATCCCGTCCTCTTCGTCTTCCTCATCTTCTCCCTCATCCTCAAACTCTTCCGATTCTTCGCCGAAAACTGAGGTTGTGGTTTCCAGCTTTTGACGTTGTTGTTCTTGCATCTTTTCTGAAATAGCGTTTTTAATTATCCTTTATTTACGAAGGATGCAGTCCTATAGGTCGAGGATTGAACATCTCAAAGAAAAGAAAAGGTCGAGAAATTATCGACATTTCCTAACCTTTCATCGCTCTGGTGATAAACTCGGACTGGTCTGATGGCAACGATCCGCGTTCCAAAACTTCACCAGGATTTGAAGGACGTCTCCCCAAATATGGAGGGGATCCCTGCTCGGTGGGAACTCGTTCGGCTGCTCCATACAAAGGACAGCACATTCGAGCTGAAATCGCAAATTTTAGTCTGAGATAGAAAGAATCGAATTGCACTGATGACATACATTGCTTCTCAACGTCAATCGCGCAATAGAATCCTTTAGGACAGAGTTTCATGCCATCGAATCCAGCGCCACAGCTTGTTGGTTCCCCGTTTGAGGCCATCAAGGGGTCGGATGCATCAGGACACATGAACTTGGGCGTCGCGAGCAGTGCATTACGAGAATAAGCTGTAAAGGGTATTCCGAATATAGAAAACAAAAGCTTGGACTGCGTAGCTACTATTGAAAACTCCAAATGAATACACGATTTGGGCCTACCTCTTGGCACACCAGGAACTTCTGGAGCGAACCTGACAGATCCCTTTTCTACTGAAAGAGCAGCAATTAGTAGAAATCATCGTGCAATACATTTGCGTTAAGAGCTACCAAGGAAATGAGAATGAAACCTTTCTTAGCCACTTCTTTATTCGAGCAACAGACATCTGGAGGACCACGGAGACAATAGAATCCTATAGGACAACCGATAGAGTCGGTCGTGTTTCCGCAAAGCACAGGGGCCGATCCTCCCTAAAGGTGCCGTACCATCGGGACACTGTCCACGAAGTATAGGAGGAGGAGAAGCAGAAGATTCTGGCTTAGGTCCTGAAAGAATCCAGGATCTCATCGGTGAATGCAAGAGCTCAGGCCGAAAATCAACTTACGCTGTCCGCCGAGAACACATAGCCTTTGGCAATCAATGACGCTACCAAAGTTGTTGTTGTTTCCCTTACAGCCGGTGTAGTAGAACAGTCGACATTTGTCTGAGTCGCGGTCGTAGTAGTACCTGGAAACGTTTGTTTGTTTTTTAGGTCTTCATATTGCCAACGGTATTAATCACAGGTGAAGCGATTGTGCTCAAGTGTCCGCTGAAAGTGGAAAGTTGTCCTGGACCTATCGATATGGTTTTATGCGTATTTGCCGTACAGGGTAGGGGCAATACAGCAGCAAAACCGTCCCATGGGTTCACCTATGTTGTGTATTGAAGGAGGAATTCCCTTATTATAAAGCAGCAGTTTGGTGTGTTTGTCTGTTTGTAACCAGGGGCTCGCACGCTACGTAGACCCAAAGAAAACAGTTAAGGCATGGTCCCGGATGGGTAGGAAGCTGCCCCTTGGGCGTGTAGGGTGAAGGTAGGGCTTGGTTAGAAAGGGTATGGTAGTGGGCGGGGCCCGGTCAGGTGGGCGGGGCTTGCGCTGGAATCTCCTTAGAAAACACAGGTTTTTGTGCAGAGGCCCCCAATTGCTAAGCGAATCGCAACATTGATCGGGTAGTGTCGTAGGAGTAGATTTTGGATGGATCACAGGTTATCGATCGATATCGATTGAAAATATCGGTTTTTGCGCAGAGTGCTCGAATAAGGTTGGGAATCACGCTATTGATTGATGGCTGCAGTAGTAGTGGAAATCTCAATGGGCCACATGGTATCGATCGATATCGATTGAAAATATCGGTTTTTGTCTGGGAGGCTCAGATTTGCTTACTAATCACACTATAGATTGATGGGGTCGCAACAATCAAATTCTACAAGTCACGTGGGTCTCAAGCCACTACGCGATCAAAAATTATCGGCTTCATCAAGTAGGCTTGGAAGTAACCCCTAGAACAGAATTAAAAGGGTTTTGTGGCAAGCTCCGCTCACTGTGGTACATTTCTAACCCTCCCCCCTCCGTTGACCCTTAATCTTCCCTCCTTATCTGATCTCTGTCCACTTCTTTCTCGGTTCTGGGACTTCTCTGAACCGACTTATGACAAGTTTGCAGTAAACGCTGCCCACTTAAGGACAGGCTCCTGCTGTGGGTGGGCTCTCCACTGAATTTCAGGTATGTTGAAGACACCTTAGATGTTGTTCTCCTAAACCGATTTTACTACGGCTCAATAGGCTTTCTCATGCCAGAGTTATGAGTTCTTCTTATCGAGAAACACTCCTTCAGAGAACGCTCCACCCACAACGGGCGGGCCTCCCAGATTCGACTTTTAAACCCAGTGCACACCTTTACTCTTTTTTTTCGGTGTTTTGGCTATACCAATACCCAAACTTGAGCATTCTGCCGTCGGCTGCTCCTAACTCAAACGCATGCCCCGCCCACCGTGGGCGGAGTTTCCCATGGTCCGTGTCTGCCCCTGTAGCCTGACTCATTCTCTACCCATCCCGAACTTGACCTGGACCCTGATGGTGGTTCCTTAGATAGTACTTAATTTTTTTCAAGTAGACACACAAAGGCTTCAGCCCTCTATATCCCCTCTATCCTCTTATATATAAAGCAGCAGTTTGGTGTGTTTGTCTGTCTGTTACCACTTGGTGGGGGGGGCTCCTCAAATTCGAGCCTCTTCTCGATCTTTAAACCTTCACCAACTCCAAGTACGGCTCCTCCCGATTAACTCAAATACCGCTCCCCTCATTGAGAGCTACGAAACACACATTATAACCCTGCCACGAGAATCCATCCTCTCCAGCCGTGTCTCGCGCGCGGTATCGTGCGCAGCTAACAACTGAGTCTCCACGACAAGAACGAAGGGGCAAAGAAGGTCGGGAAAGTGAATCGTGAAGACAGCGGGACCGGCCTAAGAGTGCTGACGCCAGCGCAATTGGCAGAAAGCAATTTGGCCTCGGCGATCCAGCATGACCATTCCTACTTCGCGCGCTGTTTGCACGGTAAAGGCGCACCAATATCTAATCAGCCCGCAGGTCTATACGTCGGTGAGTGACTAGATAAGCAAAGATGAGCGTAGATGTTGAAGAGACACAGCGATGAAGAGTATCGAAGATCAATAGGTGAACCAGGTCAAACGGCGCAAGAAGAGGTCCTGCCTCCACTTGACCCTTTAGTTTATCTCCAGATGAGACGACCTTTATCATAGTGAATCCTTGTCCGGATTAAAGTAGGTATTCTAATCTGCGACCTTTCCATCTAAAGAAACTCAGAAAATCGCAAAAAAACGGTATCCAAAACTTCTGTTATAGTAGCCGTTTCACATACAATTGGTTCATCAAGTTCTCCTTGAGCCACGGGCTGGATTCAGACAGTACATTGATGGAGATGGACAATATATCATATACTATTGGCCCCGGAATTTATATCAAAATCGATCACTTCAGTCTTTTCGAAGAGATAATGAAAACCAGCGAAAGTCATGCGAAGCGACAACTACCTCAGATGCGCAGCATCGCAGTCTCCGGTAGCCAAGGGCTCGATACAAATAGGGTTTTCCGTGATGCGGTGGAGACGGCTTTGGCACGCATTCGTTGAGCTCGGAGAAACCGTGCGAGGTTTCTCATCTGTAACGAGGAACTTTCGGCACAAATTCTCCAAAAAGGTGGGATGGTTCTCGAAATAATTGCAAGACAGGATGATGAGAGTCATGAAATGAATCTTTTTGGACGGTTTGGGGCAGTCATTCCGTACAGGCAGGTTGCAGCGATTCCGAGCTGGACAACAAATAACTCATGTAACTCATTGGATGAGACAGTTTGCCAGTATGTTCCTACACAAAGTTCCACTACTATTATTATTACTATTATTATGTTATTATTAATTTTGTGAAGAAGGAAAAATAAGGGAATTGTGTGACAATACTGAAACGCCAACTGAACTCCCGCATCGTCACGCGATGTTTTGATGCTTACTATTTTATATCCTCCTATTTTTGCACATAAACCTATCACACTTTACGCTCTGAGACACTCCACAAAGTACTGTCATCTAAACATGAGCAGGGATGTGCGCAGCGTGAGTAGAAATAGGAAACCTGTCGGCTCTCACAAGGGAGGTCTTTCAGGGCAAGCCGCGCTTTTTGGAAACGGTTTCTTGCATATTGTAGGGACGCATGTATGGACCACAAAACCATGTTTCGTTTTCGCTGAACGGTTTTAGTAGTACCAAAAAAGTGGTGAATGATACCCTTGATGGTTCGATCCCCCGCGGCGACTAAATTTTGCAATCAAGGTTGGCGGCCACTTGTTGGCTTCAAAATGGTCCTGACGATGAATATGACATCTGATTTTGACATTTAGCGCGATTTGGCACCAACCGTAGGCGCCAACCCAAATGCAAAATTTAGTCGCCACGGGGGATCGAACCATTAACAGTACCTTATGCTTCTTTTTTGGTACTGCTAAAACCGTTCAGCGAAAATGAAACATGGTTTTGTGTTCCCTACATGCGTCCCTACAATATGCAAAAAACCCTCCCTTGTCAGGGAACTCAAGGTCTCCAACGAAAGGCCAATAAGGGGAAGCAATGCTGTTGAAATTGGAACCAGGAGCCAGCCTTCAAGCGACAAGCTGGGCTGTCACATCTACTCCACAAACCCACAGTGCATAGTGCCTGCAAATTTGTAAAAAAATCCTAAGAGTCAAGTAGAGTTGACTGACTGGAAAATGATGTATTTCTCCAGTCTCAAAACTTTTTCGCATCTCATGGAAAAACTCACCGTCAAAGCGCAGTGGCGCGGTGATGGAGTCGATGTTGAAGGCAGCAGGTCCAGAGCTGAAGACGCTATCTGAGGCTTGGCGTCGTGCTCGAACTGATCTCACATCTCGACGAACTCGAAGTGGCACCTCGTCCATAAGGCGACGGATGTTCAAAGGTCCAAACACCTTGTAGCCATGCTTCGTCTCCTCACCGTCGTAGCCTTAAGGTAAACGATGATTTTTGGAACATCTGGGGATGAACACACCAATTGACAAATTAAAGTCAAAAATATACATGAAAAGGTATCTGAGATGACCCAAATGCAGTTGGATAAGAGCACCACCGAGCTCACAATTTTATCAGAAGGCTTTCAGAAAAACATTAGCTTGTCACCATCCTCTTCCAGCGGCAACAGCGAGCGGCTCA